ATTTATTGACAACATACAGAAAGCTTAATTATAATACCTACATATCTTATTAAGCGAAAAGGCGGTATGAAAATACCTAAAACAGAGAATAAAATAAAGATATTATAGTGCACTTTAATAACACTTATATTAACATTGTACAACAACATCTTTTATTCTATTCTTTGTTTCATGTATACTGTTCATACTGTTCTTTTGCTTAATAAAATATATGTTTTGTAATTGAATTTTTTTACGTTGTCGATGAATATGTAGTAATTACCATGAATGTTAGTAACAGTTGATAAAACGGATGTAACGAGAACAAATCTTTGCCATCGCTAAGCAAAAAAAGATTCCGGTCATTTATATTGGTTACAGGTAACCAAACTTAAATTTTTGTCAACAATAATAGTTATTCGTAACGAAATTTTTAAATGAAACGTATTAACTTTACAGCCTATTTAAAGCTTAGTATATTTTTTTCTTCTTTATCTTAAACTCACCTTGTTTATCAGTAGTTTTAATAAATATAGGTAATGACATCGACATTCAATGTTTAAATTTAAAAAAATCAAACGTAATAATAGGTGCAATCATATTAATCGGAATATTTGCTTCTATTTAAGGATTTGTAAGTTGAATGCATTACTTCTCAAACTTGTGCACAAAACTTATTTATTCTCAATTTCTTCTTATATGTTCGTTTACTACATGTACCTAATTATTACATACAATGACACGTTTTAATAGAATTAATGAAAATGAATGAATTATTAATTAATTATTTAAGAGTGGTAGTTTAGATAACGTGTTGTGGCGATAGAGTGCTGTATGAAATATTAGGTGTAAGTAAGTTAGCTGAAAGGAGTTTCCTTTTGAACTTTCTAGAGAATCCTGAGCGACAGTTTTTAACAAGTTTGCTCGTGTGGATTTTTATCCCGTAATGGTTTGCTTCAGAGTGTTTTACCATTTCTCCCCCCACGGTTGAAATTTTCACTATTTTTCGAATATCATCGTTTCTGAAGTTCGACCGTGCATTTAATGTCGTCCTTAGAACAATAAATTGCGAACTTTCTATTTCCTTGACGTTAGATTTGGCTGCCGTGCGCCAGATTTTAATTTCGTATGTTCAGCTGGATTTGATGACAGTTTTATAGATTTGTAGCTTGCATTCAATTTTAAAGTTCCTGCTATAGACCAGTTTATAGATTTTCTGATAGCTTTTGTTTGTTTGACTTTCTATTGGACATGTTTCTTTCAATCTATCTTATTGTCCAGGCGAAAACCGAGATATTTGACAAAGTTTGCAGGATTTCTGAACTTTCAAAGTGGATATTATGTATTTTATTAAGTGCGAACATTTAGCTCAGTTGATTTTGATTCTGCTTGAAGTTTTAGTGTACTCGTAGCATTTAATCCAGCACGTTGTGTTGCATTTCTATTTGCTGTGCGAAGTTTTATCTCGATATCTAGTGTTATATAAAATTGAGATTTTATGTATTTCCTTATTATTGTTGACTCGTTTTTCTATTAAGGACATTGGTATTGACGTACTCTTTCTTGAGATGAATGTTGCTTAATTTGTGTCCTTCTATTGCATATCTGTTTTCATATGTTCCTTGTTCGATTATATTTGGATTATACGTCTGATTGACATGTTGGTTGTAATCCTGCTACACCTACTTTAAATTTCCTTTCCCGTTTTGGTCGAAAAGTGTAATCCGCCTATTTACTTTTTGACTACTAATCGGTAAGCAGCTAGATTTTGTGCTGCATTCTATCTTGCTTTCCGTGCAATTGCTTTCAAAGATATCTTCGGAGCCCTACTAATTAATTTTAAGTTTCTATTAATCGTTAGTTGACGTTAGGGGCTCCACAACATGTCAGTTTAGGTATTGGAATATCTGTTTTGTTCTCCCCTTCTAAACTTGAATCCTGGATGCGTACCTGTTTGTCAACTTCGGGTCTTCGAACTATTTTGTCTTTGGTTACTAATTAATTATGTTTATCTCCACTTCTTACTTTTACAAGTTAATTGTTCCTTTTTGTTTCCATCAGTAACTCTTAAGTTACTGTAGCAATATCTTCTGGCTGAGTGTCCATGTACTGAGTATCTATCACATATCTTTCATCTTTGGTTGTGCTTTGATTTTTTGTTCCTTGCACTTTGATTTGCATCTACTTGAATGGCGTGCGCCAGCTGTTAGACGGGTTTCAGTTGAAGATGTTGAAATCGTTATACTTATATAGATTTATTGTATTTAACATCTATAATTTGCGATTTATCATTCAGCGAGACAGCAGAACAAATGCATCCCCGATCACTACGATGGCTCGAATGATTAGTAATATCGATTATCAGTGAGAAACAAATATTTGTCAGCATTTCACAGTGTCACTAAGCTATACAGCTAATCCCTGCGGATATTTGCGAGTAGGAAGATCAATCGTAATACAATGATTTACCTATGGTTTTGAATAGTCGTCATATAGCGCTGAATATCATGGAACATAGGATATCACGCAACATGTACGATGCAAATTTCAATGAAAGAACAAATTGCATGGATGGATCTTCCGTTTTATAAGGATTTGTGCTATTGGAACTGTTAGTAAATAGATGTGTGTACATGTGTTGTACGCGCGAGGAATGATAGAGAGAAAGACAAAAGGAAATGTGCAATAAAAAAAATTCACTCCTGTTTGAGATGTATAAGAGAATACTTCAAGTTATTCTGTTACACATAAATTATATATTTAATAAAACATTATATTATCACTTTAACAGGAACAAAATGGATCATAATTCATAAAATAATATAAAACAAAAAATGTTGCCCGCCTGTTATTTCCTTATAAAACGAAAGAAATTTTTGGGACAACCTAATATCATACCAATACGCATTTCTCTATATACTGTGTTACACATGCATTTCGACATAATCAATGATGCATCTAAAATGATACGAGTACCTTGAAAACTTTTCCGTCGAGAGGCTTTGTTAGTTAAGTGACACTGTGACGCGGAATTGATTTTTAACGTAAATTAAATTGTTTATAACTTGAAAGATACGTCCTAGCCGATATTTTTGCATAGTAACTTTCGTATTTGTTTATTATTTGATCGATTCTCCAAAGATGTTCCACTTTATTAACAACATGTACAGCTGTGGGAAAAGATTTTTCTAAAATATGTTCGTATAGGATATTGCGTATTTTTAATTCCGTTACGTCACAACTAATCATCAAAACGAATTCATCCATCCAGAATACCAGTGCATAACTTTTTTAGTGAATTCGGACTTGGAACGCAGGTTTTATCAACAGAAATATGAATTCGTAGAATTTTACTTTGTACGTTACATTTTTGCGAAATACATCGTCGGATATTTTGAATGTGATATCGACACGATGGCTGCTCCATAGCGCTTCCCGCACAGTAACACAATTACTATGCGATAAATGTGCAAACTCGTGTTCGTTGATCCTACTATATTCGATTTCCTTTTATGGCAAAAGCTAAACGAACAATGTTCGCCACGAGAAACCAATTAGAGTGGCCTTGCATATTTCTTTCGTTAGGAATGATTGACACTTGCATCATTGCTTGGAACATTTAATTTAATTCAGAGCGTTAAGACGTTAGGAATAGACAGTTTCAAGTTAGGTTGATGACGCAGAGATAACTTCTCTGTTATCTTTTAGTTTTATACTTTCACATGCACTTTTACCATTTAGTTTCGTTTAGTCTTGTTCATAGCCAAGAGAACTAACTATGCAGCATTAACCGAGAATTCGGAGTTTCTTCACTTCAATTGCAATTGACGCATCATAGATGCGCTTAGTCGCAATTTGTATGCGAGTGTCACGTTGGAGATACAATAAATCACGAAACCGATAGATCGCCGGTGATCTCCTCGCGTCGTTGTTCGAACATTTCACGAATAAGGTGAAGAAATTGAACTTTATATATGATATAGAATTTATTATGCAAACCCAACAGAGTGACGGTTCAAAGTGTTACAAGAGACTGGGTCAAAATGTTTTTAACGGACTGACTCGAGCGCTTATTTTGGAGGGTTTTTATACCGTGGTTTTAGTCTCTCTGGAAGGGTTGTCGTCTGGTGTCGTCAGAGACGCCTATTCCGTTACTATTTGGTTATTGTTTCGATGGCTGTGGTATGCAGGATGTCTAGCCTATCTTATTACTGTTTCTGAGTGGGTGGTCTTCTTGAGCGTGTGACACGAACAACGGTAGCATCCTTTTCCTAACTTGAGTGACACGTGTATCGAGTCATATGTACAGTGACGAACAAAAGTTTTTTTTTTATTTAATTCTTTACATTCACAATTTGTCCAGTTTGGACATTTGGTAGAATTTTTTAGCTGTTTGATTATCATATGGGTAGCTACCATCAGTGGGATACCATCTTCGTGTTTGTTAGGTTGTGTCCTTTGTGAGGTCTGCTGGGTGTTTCCTTTTCAGTCTTCTATCCATGTTTGAGGTGTTGATCGTTTCCACAGCTAGCCAGCTTGGCTGTGTTCCTATTCTTTCTTTATATTTTCCTGCGTGTCTGCTAATTTTCTCTTTGACCGTTGGTATTCCCAAGTCCTTCCGTATATCCTCGTTTCTAACGTATCATGGGGCGTTTACTATTGTTCTATGAATTTTAGCTTGTACTGTCTCTATTTCGTTTATATGGCTCATTGCTGCTGTCCCCCATAGTGGTATTCCGTACGTCCAGATTGGTTTTATGATCGTTTTGTATATTTTTAATTTATTTTCCATGCTTAATTTGGATTTCGACTTGTTAGCCAATGCATTTGTCTCCTTGTTGTCTGTATTTTGTCTATTATTAATTTAGTATGCTGTTTCCATGTGAGTTGTGTTTCTAGGTGGAGTCCTAGGTATTTCACTTGCCTGACGAGCAAAAGTGTAAACACACTCCTTAGGATGTTTGGTAGTG